CTGCAAATAGAATTAAAATTAGATAGTCATAATTTAGAGATAGTAGACACTTACAAATATTTGGGTGTTTGGTTGGACAGGTCGTTGCGTTGGAGTAAACATATTAACATGACGGTGGAGAAAGTGCAAAGAAGTCTTAATCTGCTTAAAGTATTAGCTGGTGTCTCCTGGGGCTTGCATCCTAAACATTTAAGACATATATATATAGCACTGATCAGAAGTCGTATAAACTACAGTTGCTATCTATATGACGCAAGTGCAAAATGTCATTTAGATAAACTAAATAAAATTCAAAATCAGGCACTAAGGATAATAGGAGGATTTATTAAAACCACTCCAATTCACGTTATGGAGAGTGAGCTTGGTGTAGTTCCACTGTACTTACGGAGAAAATATCTAGCATACAAATTATGTCTAAAGTTAAAGTCTGCAGAAAATAATATAACTACTCAGCTATTAGAAGAACTCTACACTCTTCGACAAAATTATTATTGGAGCAACAAAATCATTCCTTTACTGGTATCCTCACATAATGAAGTTAAAGAAATTCAGATAGCAACATCATGTCCGTTATTAATGTTTACTTTGCGAACATGGGTGACCAATATTAACTTAAATGAAGTAATTGTACCCAAGCTAGAAACAATTCACTATTCAAAAAGCTCATACGACAGTAACCTATTAAAGTATGAAGTTATCAAAGAGTTGTATACAAGATTTAATGGCTGGAGTTTTATATTTACGGATGGGTCGAAGAGTGTAGAAGGATATGGGTCTGCGTTTTATGTGCCTAGCATAGATATAATACTAAATCAAAATAAGCATTGTTTTAAAATAAGTACTCATACTAGTATTATGGCTTTGGAACTTATTGCAATCTCAGAAGCTTTGACACATGTTATCAGTAGCCAATATAAAAATGTCGTTATATGCACAGACAGCAAGAGCTCGTTGCAACACATAGCTCGATGCGCCTCTGGTTACAGAGGTGCATCGATAGCTTATGACATTATATCCAAGATAGATGAAATAACTTCAAAAGGCGTCCAACTGAGATTGCAATGGGTCCCATCGCATATTGGGTTACGGGGCAACGAAAAGGCTGACATGTTAGCGAAATATGCAGCTAAGAATGGAAAGGAAACTAATATTATTTTGGATCACTCAGAAGTTTTACCTAAATTCAAAAATATTTGTTATGAAATGTGGAAGGAATACTTTAACAAGCGGTCACTAGAAAAAGGAATATGGTACAAAACCATACAGTGTCAGCCTCTTCATGTGCCCTGGTTCATGAACACTAGATTAAGTAGGAAATTAGTTACTACTGCTCATAGACTCAGATCTGGATACGTTCCATGTAAGAAATTTGTATTTCTAATGAGAAAAACAACTTCGCCCAATTGTGAAGACTGTGGAGTTATAGAAGACCTATACCCCATATATTGATGGAATGTGTTCGATTTGAGTCTATTAGAAGTAATTTCATAAGGGTCTTGAATTTGAACAGAACTGACGTAGGCACATTCCATAATATTCAATCCCAACCAAATGGCGACGATGCGAAAGTTCTGTTCGAATCCATGGCCCATGTAGTTATTAAGTAATGTTATATGAGTAAGTCATGTATATTAGGGTATGATGGGACTGACATACCCTAAGCGGTAAATGTCCCTTAAATTATAATAGAATAAAAAAATAAATTCTAGTAGGAATGGGAAGCGAGTTACGCAAACGTCTTAAATAAGATGCTGCCGCAAACATCTTTCTGCTGGACTCCTTAATATGCAGGGACCAAGAAAGATTCTGATCAATATATAATCCTAGGTCTTTTACAGATTTACTAAAAGGTATCACAACACCATCAACAACAATAGGTGGAAGGTTATCCCAAGAAATTCTCGAGATTAGAGTGCTATTTCCAACAATAATGGCTTGGGTCTTTTTGGGATTTAAATTAAGCCCGAACGACCTGCTCCAATCAAGTATTGCAGCAAGATTCGTATTAGTGTCATTGATGGCATTGGTAAGATTCTGGAGTGATGTATGGGAGTAAATTTGGAGATCATCTGCATACAAATGGTAGAGAGAAGAAATTCGTGAAGTAATAGAATTAATAAATACAGAAAAAAGGAGAGGAGACAACACGCCACCCTGTGGTACACCAGCAGTTAGTTCACACCACGTAGATGTGGCACCCTCTACCATAACACGCTGCCGGCGGCCACGCAAATAGCTTTGAAACCATTCAATTGCCGCTGGAGATATGTTAATAGAACGTAGCAGACTCAACAATACGTCAAAATCGACGGTGTTAAAAGCGTTACTGAAATCCAGCAACGTAAGAATAGTAAGCTGCTGTTGGTCCATACCCCAGCGAATATCATCAGTGATTTTAAGTAAAGCTGTAACAGTACTATGACCAAGTCTGAACCCTGATTGAAAGGAGTCAAGAAGGGAGTTTTTATTTAGGTAGTGGTTAAATTGTGCAAATACCAAACGTTCAAGAACTTTTGAAAGGAATGGAAGGATAGATATAGGTCGATAATCTGAAGGAGAACAGGGGTTCTTCTTTTTAGGAAGAGGAATGATATTAGCTTCCTTCCAGATTTGAGGAAAGGATCCAGAGGATATGGAGTAATTGAAAATATGAGTAAGGATGGGGAGAATAATATCAATCAGGGGGACGATCGTTTTACGGCTAATTTCATCACATCCGATAGCACTTGACGATATGGACAAAACGTTCTTCTTAACATCACAGTCGGAAAATTGATTGAAGGTGAACGGCGAGAAATTAGGAGTTGATGCTTTAGACAGATTGTTTAAAGTGTATGATTTTATATTATCATTTAAAAATGAAGATGTACATGAGAAATGTTGATTTAGTGATTCAATATCAACGTCTTCATTCGAAATAGTGGATTCTTTAGATTTTCCAACTCCTATTGATCTGAGAAACTTCCAAATTTTTGCAGGGTCTCCGTTCTCGACTGATTTTTGAACATGGCGTTGTTGTGCATCTCTACAAATTGTATTGCAGCGATTCCGTATGCTCCTGTACGTGTCCCTATTGTGGTCCGATTTATCACTGTTATAAATAAGCCTAGCTTTATTTTTCTTATTTAACAGTGATTTAATATCGTCTGTAAGCCACGGTGCAGGGGTGTGTTTAATTTTAACTGGTCTGACGGGTGCATGGGTGTCGTAAAGGTTAATTAAGATGTAGTTTAGTGTTTCTACTTTTAGGTCTATAGAGTCAGCAGAGCATACAGCAGACCAGTCAGCATTCCGAGCATCCTCTTGAAGACGTTCAATATCAATCCTACCAAAATTTCGTAGCATCAGTACCTTGCCTCGAAGCTTAGGAGTGCGTATTTTATACGATAAAAAGATAAGGTCATGATGAGAGAATGCCACAGCTGCACATTGACCATGCTTTGACACGTGATCAGGAGATGAAACTATGATGAGATCTAACAAAGATGAAATACAGTTAGGCAAAGTGTGCGTAGCGTTAAGTGGCAGAATATGTAAATTACATGAGTCAGTAATAGAGCGCAGCCTTTTAGTGCGGTGATCATTCTTTATCATGCAAGTGTTAAAATCGCCCATTAGAATAATGTGATTGTATAGAGGAGTCAGATCTTCAAGTGTTTTCTCAAATGAGTGGAAATAATTCACATGGAGGGAGGGGCTATAAAAAACGCCCAGTAAGATTTTGGTGTTAGATAATGTAATTTCCAGTAAGAGATGTTCAGCTTCATTAGGCAAGGGTGGTTGAGTAGACAACTTAATAATCTTGAAAGGAATATCATATCTAAGGTAAATTGCTACCCCACCACCACACTGCCCTACTCGGTCGTTTCGAATAAGATTAAATCCTGGTAGTGAATAGCATGTGGAAGGTAAACATGGTTTGAGCCACGACTCGGAGACAAGAATAGCACTGAGGAAACTAGTGTTAAATGATGCAAGCATGTCTGGAAAATGTGCCGGAATACTTTGGGCATTAATATGGATAACATTGAAATTTTTCAGTACATCTGAGAATTGAGAAGATAGGACTTCGTTTAAAGGAGTGAAATCTGTACTGTGAAAACTATCGTCACTACTGCCGCTTTCAGAGTAAGGTGTCATAAACGAATCATTATTTGAATTATTGTCATTGAACAAGTCAGAAATCATAATAAGTCTTTCTTTTATAAAAAATGAAAATTATAAAATATAATAAGGTATTTCGTATATATATATATATATATATATATATATATATATATATATATATATATATATATATATATATATATATATATATATATACTGTTACAAAATAATAATAATAATAATAATATATTATATAAATATGAATAATATGAATAAATAAGAAATAAACTAAGTCTCCTTTACCAACCAGCGTTACTAGAAGATCGCAAATCGCAACTAATCAATCAATAGATGTACCACTTCATACGTACACAACATTTACAGCAGTACGTAGTAAAAACATATTATAAGCTCAATAATATTACAAACATAAAGAAAATAATTAACAGTAGGTCTTAAAAGTAAACAAACTAAAGGAGATGTTCCAGAAATGTATGGAGCCTGGGCTAGCACTATGTACACTATATGTAAATACCGCTATATAATATAGTAACCGTTTTTTACTGTTAGTTTTCTTTAATTTCACTTCGTTTCAATGTACATTCAAATTAACTTAGTCAAGGAGAGCAACACAACATTAAATTAAACATGGTGGATCACACAGAGAAAACCATAGACTTAGTGTAGAAAACACGAAATGTCATTTTGACATTTAACATTTGATTGACGTGTATTGTAATATCAACAATAAATAAAACAACACGAATTTCGAAAATCTTGGATGGATACGATAAACTTAGACTACAGGATATTCAACTCGATTGCGGCAGCACATCTTATATCACCTATTAGAGTAGTTAGAGATTGGTTATATCGAAATGAAACGAAGGCTTGAAAGTTATTTTGTTTATTAACACTTTCCTGTTGCTTCATTCTTTAGTGCCTATCAATATATTCTGGACTTCAATAATTCATAGGCGAGCAGTGAGCTGTGCAGTATCTGACAACTGCAAGTTATTTTTAAAGTAGTTAACTATTCCTATTACACAGTAACAGCTGAGAAGATACCAACTATTTTAATTCAATTAGGCAGGAGCAGCATAATCAGCCTATAATGTTCCCACTGCTGAGACATATACTTCCTTTCTGTGAGGGATTGGACTGTGTAATCCACCACGCTAGCCCAGTGTCCCAACTTAACACTATCAATTTTTTAAACAAGTTCTATGTTATATAATTCCTAGTATTAGCGACATCAAAAACGCGAGAAATCAGTCATGAGAGGTATATAAATAAAACAACTTGTTGGAACTTATGATTTCATTCGTTTTCCACATCATCCCTTATTAATATTCCATCCAGGAATGACACCGGTGCTTCTATGCTCTCTTGGTACTGAGCCCAACCCAAACACCACACAGTGGTCATGACATGAGCACAGCAACCCATTGTCCGATGTCCGGAGATACAATTACAATAATAGCTAATTATTTTATCATCCCCACTTGATCCTTCCCTTGCCAGCAATATGTAGGTATAATATGTTCGTCCTGAGCTGTCGAGTTTTTATACAGGCTTTTATTAAAAAAAGGATCAAGTTGGGATGGGGTTGCTTCTGCTACTACTTCCAGTTGGTCCGATACTTCTACCTGAAATGATCCATGTTGCCTAATATGTTCCCCGAAATAGCTTCTAGCCAGTTTTATTTGATAGGTACCCAGCCCAAAAAGTATCAATTCAGACAAAATAATTAACTCTGGAAGTTGACCATCAATTTTTATGAATTGAGCTCTAAAGCGGTTGATCCGGTTAGCAATTATAAATTCTGCTAAACGGTTGGGCATATTTTCACTCTGTATTGTGCAAGTATAGCTACAGCATTTGGTCTATTTTCAATCATTGGATGGAAAGCATTAATTATAACATCATTGGGCTGAAAAAAAAAGCCCTTAGACCCTCATTTTCATTTTGGAACAAAGCTTTCATGGTGTCATAATCTGATTTGGTTGTTGGATAGGGCCCCAAAATATCAATAATGTAACCATCAGTGGCAACAATGAGAAAAGGTTTAACAAGGTTTCTATATTTGTGCAAGCTATAAGTTTATTTTTGAAACAAGTAGTTGGATGATTTTTGAAAATATATATAGGAACCATCACATATTATTATTGGTACTCTTGCCTCTCTGTTATAAATTCCTATTAATTAAATCATTTATTCTGTGATTGATTATATATAATAATAATAATAAAATATATATAATTTTTCTTGAGTATTCCGGCACTCTATTTCGTTCTACATTGTTACAAGCCGGAACAAAACAATGAGCACTTCTGTGTTGTGTGTGTAAAACCATCAAGTGTTATTGATGCACTTGGTGGCTGCATATCAATTTGTTGCACAACTTCTTGCTCTATTCCTATATTTTCCTGTGCATGTGTCCAACAGTTGGAACAAATAAGCACATGTTCTGGTAACTGAAACAATACAAGAAACAATTTACTTATAGGGGCTACAGATAAGGTTACTTATAGTTGAATGTACAGTAACATTACTTATGTATGGTGGTTTGGTAAATTAAAACAATCTAACCTGATTTGGGTAAATTCTTGCTGCAACTTTATCTCTTACAGGACCACTAGCCATGTGTGTTAGCCTTCGGTGTAGAGACATTCTACACCATGCATACATTAGTCTTGGTGAAGGCTAGATGGGGTTGGAGTTTGCCGATTATCCTCAATCCTTGTAGCATGCTCCACATTTCTACATATTGCTACCCAACAAGCATAGAAAACCAGTCCGCCTGGTGGAATCTGAATAAAAAATACAATATGTATTGGCTATTCACACAATTATTTAATTCCAACACTAGGTAATTAAGTAAGTTGTTAATGTTACCTCTCTTGGATATATTGTTTCTGTTATTATGGTCCGTTCAGGTCCTTCAGGTATGGAGTGGCTGTGTGTCTGGGCAAGAGACCATCGGCACCATACACATACATTCATATTCATAACAACAGTAGAAGCTGCTATGATTCCTTGTTGTTGTATTGTACGCCAAGTATGTACCCAACAAGCAAAACATATTAAAGCACCTTCAGGTATCTAAAACAAATAATGTAAATAAAAAATTACTTTCAATAAGTATTATGTAATAATTAATATTGAATAAAAAATCATTCTATTATATTCTATGAAATTAAGATTTATTTATTTATATCACAATATTTCTAAATAATTTAAATTAATCAAGATTTAATTATTTCAATATCACTTTTATAGACTCATCCGAGGTGATGTTATATATAAATCACATGTCTACACACATTTCCAAAAATTAAATTGTAACTGTTCTTTTTCTTCTTGAAACAATGTTGTCTTTGACTATAATTAAGAAACATCTACATTTGCATACCTTTGTATGAATAAAAAAGAAAAAGGGGTGCTTACCTCTCTTGGAGTAATTGTTTCAGCAATATATTGCCTTTCGGCACCCTCGGGAATAGAGTGAGCACACCTAAACAAAGATGTCCTACAGCTAACACAAACATTACTATCATGGCAATGCTGGAGTTTGTGATCTCCGCGTGCAAGAGCACTATCATTAGACATTTCTTGTATTATAAACCATATAACAAACAGAGGGTCAACAGAGAAGCAATAAATCAATGTCCGTAGTAGTAAACTGGGTCGCAAAACAAAAACAATCACTAAAAACTCCGAAACACATCCAATAACAGTACATATATTATAACCCTAAAGAATAATCAATAAAGAAAGACAAAGAAGTCTAGTCACTTCTTAAAACTGTCAAAGTCGTCAAACGTCACATCTATTAGATAATACAACTGTCATGGCTGCCCTTAAAATAGGGTTATCATAACAAAAATATTTTTAAATGATCATTATTGTACGGCTATACCCTTTTTCAAATTAATTTGTTAGTATTTTTATGAAATCCCTCAATTTTTTTCCTATTTATCTATGTAGTGTACATAGTGGTAGCCCAAAATCGAACATCTCCTTTATTGAACTCTTCTACTACGCAAATAAGGTAATGTAAAACTTAATACGAGTTGGCTGTATGATCATCAACCTTTGCTTTTATACATAAACAAGATTTACTTTGACAGTTTTAAATCAATGTCAAAATTTGTAATATTACCCTTTACATTAAGCATGGGCGTTTTCAGATTTTGGCTGCAACGGTTACATAACTGATATTTAGTTTTCATATCGTTATTGAAAACCGTTTTCAAATATCGATATCAGTAATAATGGTTTACAACCGAAACATAACCTAAAATCAGGGGTATGAAAGTCCTCAGTAGCTTGCTTTACGTTGATACTAGTGCCATCTCACAGTAAAAGTACTATTTTTCCCGATATTTTTACATAATCTATTAAAAGATGGCGCCACTGTGGGCATTTATTATTTATACCGAAGCTTAAATCATGCTAGCAAAGTTTTGAAATACGCCGGTATAAATATATATATATATAATAATTCTCTGTAAATTAAGGACCAATTAAGGACCATCACACCATGGTTTTCTAAAACTAACATAATAAATATTTACTTAAAACATAAAACATATTAGTTAATATTTAAATTTAAATTTAATGGATTTCCTTTTAATTTTATTGAAATATGTACAAAATAATACTGAACCTAGATGATAACGCCATCTAGTGTAATTTTCAGTAATTTATAACCCCTACGCCATCTATAAAAGCGCCGAAGAAACTTTCCTCGTTTCACTTAAAACAAATTAGTTAATATTTAAATTAAAATTAAATTGATTTCCTTTTAATTTAATTGAAATATGTACGAAATAATACTGAACCTAGATGATAGCGCCGTCTAGTGTGATCTAGTGTGAAATATGTGATATAAAAGCGAAGAAGAAACTTTCCTCGTTTCGTCACCTATTTATTTTTCAGAGTGGCTCATCTATGCCTGAAAAGTGTAGAACGAGTTCAACATTTATTTTACGAATTACTTCGATTATTTTAGTTTAGAAGTTAGAGGCTCTAATATAATCTTAGATTAATATTTAGACATGTATGTTAACATATAATTTATGATTGTTATGCAGTAATATAGTATTATAAATGTCTAAAATTACATTCTTTCTATTCTCATTTATGTCTATAATGTTTATACCCATATTTCTTTTAAAGTGAGACGTAGGATCAGAGTTATATATATATATATATATATATATATATATATATATATATATATATATATATATTTAGAAAATTATTATAGGGACATAGTTTATTTATTATTATAATATTAATAATCATTATTTTTTTATAGTGATTATTTAAGTTGGCGATTTACCTTCATATACTTAACTAGGCTTAGGACTGACAGGAAAGTTTTAAAACAAATGTACAAAATGCAAACAAATATTACAAATAAATGTACAAACGCAACGTCATAAATTAATAATTTTACAGATAGTTTCACAGTGAACGGCACACGCCACCACAATGTCAAGTGCGTACTTAATTGTTATGTTTGAAAAAAAATCAAATTCTAACTTACACATAAACAAAAGTTGCCTAAACGAAATATAATATGATGAAACAAATCTAAGTCTAATTGCCTAAAGTCCTAAAGATCATTTAAATCTGACAACTCTCACCACAACACAAACTTAAAAAATTAGGCAATTTTAACCATTTAAAATTCGACCTTATTGTTAAGAAACTTATAATTATATTTCACTACGTGCACCGTTTTATGATAACAACCAAAATATCACAACGAAATCCATATTCGCTTCATCTCTTTCATACGTATTTATGATACTGTCGCTAGAACGAGAAACAACGAATATCAAAGGACATCGGTTAGTTTTGGTTTTGGGCCGTTTTCTGTTTTTGGCATATCGTTACAGTTTGCGTTTTACGTTTCGTACGTTGGTTAGTTGATTTTGGGTTTTGGTTGAATATGTGATAACGGTTATGTACTTAGGTTTATCGATATGATATGATATTTGATAACATAACGTTATTAGTTACGTTTTGATATATCGGTCTCATGCCTAAACTTTACATTCATATTAAACAATAGAAATAATTTTACCTTTGGAACAGAAAAGAAAAATACAATTAGTAATAATTTTGAAGTACCAGTAAAACAGTAAACACACACATATACTGAGCAATAATAAATCTTAAAGTACCTATACTAATGGATAAAACACTAACGATTACAGTACTTAAACAAAGAGAGATATCTTTATTTAGCTATCTTAAGTACCTAGCTTTAGTAATAAGTATAACAAACAAGTCTAAAAATACTAAAGTACTTATCTTTATTATAAAATATAATAGAGAGAACAAGGGTAATAATTTTGATGTGTCAGTACAACAGCAAATGTTATCATATGCTGAAGTAATAATACAACTTAAAGGAACTATGTTAATAAATAAATCACTTAAACAACTATAGTACAAAGAGAAATATTTACTTAGGATATCAGTCTAAAATACCTAGCTTTAGCAAGAAATACAATAAAGTAGCCTAAAATTTTGAAGTGCCAGTACAACACAGCAAACACAGTCATATGTGGAAGTAATAATTCAACATAAAGTACCTATGTTATTGAATAAATCAGCCAAACGATCAAAGTACAAAGAAAGAAATATTTACACTTAGGTAACAATCTGAAGTAACTAAGTTTAGTAGGGAAAATATTAAAGTAGCTTAAATACACTAAAGTACTTAGCTTTATTATGAAATATAATAACAAGAACTAGGAAAAAGGAACACTACATCATTGAGAAAAATGGCAGATCAATAAAATGCATTGTAGACTGCATTTGAAGAGGCATGTTATAAAGTTATTTTGCCTTAATAATTCTCTTAGATCTAGCAGTGGAAATAATCTTGTTTCCTTTAGTACTATCTTCGCCAACACTCTTCCCCGAAAGTGACAACCCTTCCGAATCACTGGTAGAACAGGGAATAGATTTTAGATCAGCGAATGAGGTGGCGGTATATAGCCGACCATTGGAACCAATTATGATTATATGACAGTCTTTTGTCCAACATTTATTAATGCCAAACTGATTACGAACAGCTAAGAAAAGGTCATGTCGACTCTTGGTCAAAAATTCTGATGCAGTAATACCAGTATTTTTGAATGCAGTTTTCGAATACCAAATGAGATTTTTATTTTCAATATTATTAAACTTGACTAGAACAGGACGTGGTTTACCTTCTTTAGAAATGCCTAAGCGATGACATCTGGTGATTACATCAGTATTTATATCTGTCATTTTTAATTTGTCTGCAAACAATTTACATACTGTATAAGGAAGGTCTTCTTTCTTCTCCTCTCTAATACCATGTAAAAGGATCATCTTACGTCTGAATCTCATTTCAGATTGGTCATATAATTTGAATAACAGTTGCACTTGTTCATTGAGAGTTTTTAAGGATGTGAGCACAAAAGAACGAAACATTTCAAAATCTGTTGAAAGTGAGGAAGTATTACCCGCTGTTGGTGAAGAGCTACTTGCTTTTGCTTCTAGGCTTTTCTGAAACTCTTCCATTCGAATGTTAAACAAAGTTGACATGTCTTCAAGTGACTTCTGAAGTGTCTCCATTTTAGTGACAGTGCAAGGGCAGTTTATAAACACACTGTGAGAATTATTTAGTGGCAAAATTCAGTTGCAGGCTTGTAAATAGTTGTATGGAAATATGCTGGTAGGTAAACGACTTTAATTTAGCACATCAGTTATACAAAACACTTGTTAAATATATTATTTTGCTTAAATTACGCAGCTTATTATTTTTACGTGTAGTATGCACACTCCTACCCGCAAAAAAAAAGAAAATAAAAAGAATAGAAAATTATTTTATAGATATATTAGAAGAATAGAAATTTATTTTCTATTAAAATAAAATTAAAGTGTTTTTCTGGAATTGGGATTTAAATTCTCGACCAGGCGAGAGGACCAGAAGGCTTCAATATATTACAATGGGGCTACCATTGAAATTTTTATTCCCCACCCTCAACAGTCATTTTAAAGAAGTAAACTGAATAAAAAATTATTTTAAACAAATTCTCATAAATATAAGAAATAATTAAAATGATATCAAGTGGGTAGCATTACAAAGTAATAGGCGGTACTCCTTTTGTGTCTTAGAGTCCGTCGGGTAAGTACCACCATCTTACATATTCTTACTGCTAAAAAGGTAAATAGCAGTGTGCAAAAAAAAATAGCAGTGTGTGCACTGCTTTGTTGCGGTCCGAAAGGCGTAGAGGGCCTTTATAACTACAGCCTGTGAGTGTAGCCTCTCTTGTCTCTCTGCATGTGTCCACGGACTACTAACCATCAGGTGAACTACCAAGTTCGTTTGTCACTTGAGTTTTAAAATAAAAACTAAAGAGAGTGACAGTTACGAGTAACTTATTTATTTTATTATTTAATACTGTATAAATCGAATCCCTTAAAAAATTCCAGAGGTAAAAATACGGGAAATGAAGTTTAAAATATACTTAATTATTTTGACGACATTCTAATAATATTGACCTTGAACTTGTAACACTCCTCTTATTCCACACAAAATTGTTAAAATTTAACTTTCTACACAAAGTAAAAGCCAACTTACTTACTACTTACTTGTCTACTTACTGTACTAGCCTACTTACTTGTACTATGTTCTTATAAAAGCCCATTAATTCGTTGCTAAGATGTAGTGTACAAAAGAATTATAGCCCTGACATTAGAAGCTACTCATCTTTTTATTAAAAGCTTAATTTTACAAACATAAATTAACAATTGCACTGAATAATAGTTTATAAGGCACATCATTGACTAATATTTGTCTCATTCGAGAATCGAAACCAAAACCTGAAACGCTGCATTAGAACAGAGTATCGTGTCCATTGTGTATTTAGTTTTCTTTTATTATATTAAATAAAGGAGAACTTTAATTTTACATAAAGCATTGACGTACACAACACAACAATATACAAATATAAAATACTAAATAAATGTAAACAAAATATATTTATACGTCATAAGTCATTCTACTTAGAATGAGTTGCGGTAATCCGCAACGCTGATTTTCAATGATGATCCATGATTTTTAGTGATGACTATAATATTTTCTACATCGGTGCAGAGAGCTTTGGCTTTTTTACTACACTAAATACTACATAAATGAAGGATTACCAAATTTAATTCGATAATGCTTTCTTACAAGAAAAACGTAAATAAAATTAAATAATGTCATTGATAAAAATCAATTTAAAGTTCTTATTAAAAATAATAAACACAACAAGTTTTTACTATTTTTGGAAATAATGAAGAACCAAGCAGCAGCAGGTCAGCAAATTAATATCTAATCCATGTTGGCTTTAACTTTGAGATATATTTTAATTTATGGATCACAAATTATGGAGAAATCAAAAAAGTAACTCACCATCGCAATCTTATTTCCATGTTCGCTTAGTCTTCGAATTAAAAAATCACCTAAATTTAATTTAGCTGGTATGAGGTTCATATCCGGGCTATACACGTATTTTGGATGTCTCAACATTTTAAACGTCTACGCTGTAATCAAACCTATTGCACACTGCATCTGCAATCTGCATCTGACCCTAGTCCGTGTCACTTACGATGGTATAATTAGAAAATTATGCGCCAACAATATTTAACGTAAGAATAAAGTAGGTACAATCATTTTGTAACGATAGGTGTACTTTTCAAAATGTTTAAAAATGCTGCGCCATATACCTAACAGCTTCCCTTACGTACAATTTTTAATTTGCAATGTTTTACTGTCGATAAACGTATGTACTTGTATTTACCTAAATTAGTTTTCATTTTTTGTTAAATTTGTCTGTCTCATTATTATAGTTATCTTCTCTTAAAGTGGGGCTGCCATGGCGCGACCGACGCTGGTAGGGCCGTTGATGTACGTCAAAGCGTTCCTGTGGCCCTGTTATTATACGGCGAAAGTAAGTTTTAATCGGTGCAAAAACCGACATAACCCGTCCTTGGCCCGTGAGGCAGGTATTCGTAGGCAATTCTCCATGTCAAAAAAAAAGTTATGTAAACTCGGCTGCCGATCATGAGAGTTCGAATTCCCGGGTCGGACTAAAAAATCAGTAATTTTTTGTCAGTCACCCCCGTGCCTCGGAAAGAACGTAATGCCGTTGGTCCTGCGCCTGATCTCTCCAGTCGCTTCGGATTGCTGTCCAATCGGACTCTGAGAATGAGGGAATAACGGGCGCACTTCTGCTTGCGCATACACTCGTACACTATAATCCTGCCCTGCGCAGATTTTTGTCTTTTATGTTTTTAACTTTATAAAACAAAGATTTCAACATCTTGCACAAATAGAAACAAAGTAAGAGAATATTATGTGGAATGACTTTTGCCAACTACGTTTGCCACTACTCATAATATAACTATTTTTCGTCCTTTAACAAAAGATCTTATATATTAAAAAAACTAGCTGTTCCCCGCGACTTCGCTCGCGTCTTGGGGTTTTTATGTTTTTGCGCGGAACCTTAATTATTTTTCTAAAATAAAAGTAGCCTAAGTTACTTCTAATGAAATCAGCTACCTGCCAGTGAAAGTCCCGTCAAAATCGGTCCATACGTTTTTGAGATTAGCCGGAACAAACAGACAGACAGACAAAAATTTTAGAAATTGTATTTTAGTTATACGTACCGTATTTACTTTCATGTACATTTAGTAAAAAACTGTAATTTTGACATTACAAACAGACACTTCAATTTTATTTATTTGTATAGATTAGAACCGACGCAAATTTTGAGGAAATTATAAATGATGAAATGTTTAATCATGAAAATTGCCGAAAAATTAGATGAATTTGAAACTTCCAGATCCAGACCCCTAAGACGTCGTAAGACTCCAAAGAGTTTTGATTATGAACACGAAGACCATACTATAAATGATCCAAAGACTGTTTTTAAAATTAATGTATTTTTTTATAAATTGGATCAAGCTTTATTCTTCGTAGACGAAAGATTTAATTTATTGAATAATCAAAATGACGTGTTTAATATTTTATTCAAACTCAGTGATGACCAAGATCAAAGTCGATTAAGAAGTAGCTGTCATCGTTTGCAGAAAAAACTTTCTGCAAATGATTCATTGAATATTAACACCGATGGAAGAAATTGTGTCGTGTCAGTCTCTTTTAAAAAAAATAAGTAATGATGTGGTGAAAATTCTCGAATTTATATATTTAAACAATTTATATTCTGTTTTTTATTTATTACGAATTCTGATAACTATGCCAGTTACCGTAGCATCGCGGAAAGGTCCTTTTCTAAATTAAAACTTATAAAAAATTACCTGCGCTCAACAATGAGCCAGAAAAGATTAACAAATTTAGCAACAATATCCATAGAGGAGGCCACATTAGACCATATAGACATACACGAGATTATTAAGGAGTTCGCAAACAGAAAAGCGAGAAGAGTGGAAATAATATAATTTAAGTATGTTTATATTCTTACATATTTTAGACTCTTGTTGTTTTTTAAACATAGCATACGTAATAGTTAAATCAGTATTATTAGAAAAGTCAGCTATTTTGTTATTAATATCTAAGTATACAATTAGATATGACATCATGAATAAAGTATGTAAGCATTAAATTCGTGTTTTATTTTTCGCAGTAATTGGCAAGCGCAAGCGAACTGGTTTTACCCATTTAGGAAAATATTATCTAAGTATATAAAACTGGAGTACATTTATTTCAATCAAAATGAACAAATAATAAAAAAAACATAAGTTTCGTGAAAAAAAGAGGCGCTTCATAAGATTCGCACACAGGCGCTGTGGGGGGTCGGCGCGGCCCTGGTAAAATCAAGGGTCTAAACAACCTAAAAGGTAAGTTATACAACAACTCTGAGCACGACAAGCCTAGAGCATGTATTTATACTACTAAAGATATATGTGCACAACCATTAACAGATTTCTGTTCCAGAGACATGTATTCCATAGCATTACAAAACACACAGGAGCAAAGCATAGTCGTCGCCTCGGTCTACATGCCGGAGGAAGACACTCCTCCCCGTTATAACCTCGTCAGGCTAGTGCACTTTTGTGTAAGGACCGGACTAGAGGTTGTGAACGGGACGGACTCCAACGTGCATCATCCCCTCTGGGGAATGTAAAAACCTAATGAACGAGGTAAGGTTTAAGCTGAATATCTATTTAGCACTAACCTAACCATTTTAAACACAGGTTCTGAATCAACAATTCTGAAAAAACAAAAACAAATCTACCTTCATAAACAAACGTTGTCGCACAATAATCGATATCACACTTGCAACAGAAGGAGCAGCTAAACTAATTACGGGAAGGCATGTGTCAAAAGAGACCTCATGCTCAGACCATATGTGGATCTGCTTCGTACTACAGGTCGATACACCACTATGGAGAAACCCCCGCAAGACGGATAAAACAAAATACCTTAATAGGCTCACATCTTCGCTCGCGGGTTTTGAGGGGACAAATACTATAGCAGATCTGTCGCTCCTAGAAGAACAGGTAGCAGCTGTTACTAAGGCCATGATAGATAGCTACCATGAATCATGTCCAGAAATCACTCCACGAAGACATGCTGAGGTAAAACAACTATCGTGGGCTAAAGAACTAGATAGAAAACTTAAGAAGGTAAGAAAATCCCTAAATAGGGCGATGAATACCTCAATGGATGAAGACTGACTATTATACAAGAAAGCCAAGTCCGAATACAAAAAATGTATCAGGTATCGACGCTTGATAGGGTGACGTAAATTCTTTGGTAACATAGAAACCTGTGAACAAGCGAGTCGGATAAGGAAAATCATCGCATCCTAATTGAACGCCCTTCCCAGGTTGCTGCGTAACTCAGGTGTTAAACCAGCATGAAGTTGCACTGACACCAACAGCAGAACAGCAGTTTCCTCAGTTTCCTCCCCTACAAGGCGGCAGGACCTGACGGCGTATTCCCGGCACTTCTACAGTGACTTGTTGCCATAATGAGAGTCTGTTTGGCTCTCACATATATTTCTAGGGGATGGAGGGAAGTGAAAGTCACATTCATACCCAAACCAGGTAAGAGTGATGATACAGACCCTAAATCATACAGACCCATTAGTCTCACATCCTTTCTCCTAAAGACGATGGAGAGGGTATGTGAAAGGGAATTAAGGGAGTCGGCGCTAATGGCCATACCGCTACACGACAAACAACATGCCTACAGCTTAGGTAAATCGACAGAATCGACACTTCGCCAGGTAATAACAAAGATTGAAGAGGCCATCCAAAACAAAGTAATATGTCTAGGTTTCTTCATAGACATAGAAGGTGTTTTTGACAGAACGAACTTCTCCAGCATATAAAGTGCACTCAGTAGACAAAGTTGAAACGGAACTGATTGACTGGATAGTAAACATGCTGAGTACACGAAGAATAAAGATTGCTGGTGAATCTCAAATAATCCAGATATAGAAAGGCTGCCCACAGGGTAGGGTTCTTTCACCTCTCCTGAGGAATATGGTGATAAATGAACTCATCAGCAAATTAAATGCCAATCATTTCTAAACAGTAGGTCATGCTGATAACCTGACAATACTGGTTTCTGAAAAGACAGCAAGCATGGTGTGCGATGTGACCCAAGCGGTTTTCCGTATAGTGGAGAGATGGTGCAGGAAATACGACTTAACCGTAAATCCAAATAAAACGGTTCTAGTAATGTTCACACAAAAACGAATGCTCCCAAGTCTTTTTAGCACAAAACTTCAGCTGTCCTCCGAGGTAAAATATTTAGCTCTCACCTTGGACAGTAAACTCAACTGGAATAAACACATAGAAAACAAAATCAACAAATCTAGTATAACTTTCTGGCAATGCAGAAACGTGATTGGCAAAATATGGGGTCTGACGCCAAATATCATACTGTGGCTATACAAAACTGTAATTCGGCCCATGATCACATACGGCGCTCTGGTATGGTGGAACAAAACAAATGAAGTCACCACCATAAAGAAGCTTCAGCGTTACCAGAGACTGGCATGTATGGCTGCCACAGGCTGCATAAGAACTACGCCAACAGCAGCCTTAAAGGCAATGCTGGGGCTAACCCCGCTTCATCTACACATACAACAAGTAGCGACTTTATCTGCCATTAGACTCAAGACCCTAAATCTTTGTAGTAAGAATAGAGTCCCTGATACAGGCATAATTGATAGAATTCACTCAAAAACAAGTCAAGTACAATAAGATCCATAAACAACTTATATTCAATAACAAGTATGTATAAGATACAATTAAATTTAACCAGCCAGCCGGAGGGATTAAGCCCAAAAGTGCTTAGAGTCTTCACTGATGGTTCTAAAACAAATGAAGGTGTAGGATCTGGAACTTTTTCTGAAGACCTCAACATCCACATATGCACACCGCTGGGTACCTATAACACAGTCTTTCAGGCGGAATGTATGAGTATCATTCAAGCGGTCATAACAATAGATGCTAGAAAGGTTAAGGACTTCTCCATCAGAATACTGACCGACAGTAGGGCGGTACTACAAGCCCTGAGCTGCAATGTGGTGAGCTCAGGACTAATATATGAATGCCACCAACGATAAATGAGGTATGTAAACACAATAATGTGACTCTGCAATGGATAAAGAGACACAGTGGATCTAGAGGCAGCGATGCAGCAGACGAACTGGCCAGAAGAGGATAGGCTCTGGCCACTATAGGGCCAGAACCAATCATACCAATCCCCTTTGGTAATGTTCGTTCACAGGTTCGTAAACACTACACAAATCAACACGCTCAACTTTAGAAAAATCTAGGAGACCGTAGACAAGTTAGGGAGGCCCTGACTGAAATAAATGGTCGTTTAACCAAGGTTCTAATGAGACTTAACAAGCCGCAGATCAGGATAGTAACAAGTGCTTTCACAGGACACGGTAACTTTGTATGTGTGTGTAAACGGTGTTACGTACAGTCCCTTGTGCAGGGCGTGTATGGGGGAGGAAGAAACGGCTGCCCATGTGTTGCTGACGTGTCCGGAAGTCGCTGTATACAGGGCTAAACATCTCGGCAGGCCGGAATCACTCCCCGAATTTGCTTGCAACATCAAAGGACTGTTGAACTACTTCGGGGAGATTTCATGGCTCGAATAAATACATTATTCCTGCCCTTAGACGTGGAGTTGCGGAAAACAGCCCGTTTATTTGAATAAACGGGCTGTTTTCCGCAACTCCACGTCATTCAATTAATTGATTCAATTCATTATTCAATTAAGTGACCTAAAGCAGAGGTTCCTTTTGAAAACATTTTATTTGGTAGAGCTCGTTTTCTGACGGGATCCGTCTATGTTGTGACCTCTTACAATGGCCAAGCATCAATGCACTCACTGTTCCGTATTCAGTTCTATATTCCGGTTTGAAAGGACTAAGAAAGTCCGTATAACTAAAATCTGTGAAGCATTTTTTTATAAGATAAGGTTGAAAAACGGGCACACAGTCCACCTGATGGTAAGTAGATACTGTGGCCCATAGAAATTTCGATTACAAATCAAAATGCAGATGCGTCGTCACCCGTGAGGATCAAGATGGAATGCCTCGTTTCCAGTTAAAAGGGTCTCCGGTTCTCAACACTCACCATACGAAACACAGCAGCATTGAGCTGCTATTTTACGCTGATTTTCTGTGAGAGCGTGGCGTGAGAATTAATAATAGCTGCAGCATGGCTCCACCACTTGCCCATTGGATGCGGTAGTCAAATACCATCAGGTGCAGTGTTAGCTCGTAATGAATCCATAATTTAATATAATATTATATAAAACAAGTCTTACTGTAATCTATCTGACCTATTCTTGTACTTAATCAATGGCTTGGTGCAGCGTTTTCTACACGTGTAAAATAGGAAGGCTGCAGACATTATTTTTATGATCAACAAACATGCAAACACTTGAGAAGCAAGGTCATGGGTACTTAGTGCACAAGTAAATTGATGTCGTAAAATGTATTGTTACTGTAATAAAATACATTCATTAGCTTTTCATAAAAAAAATAATAGGTAGTAAAATACTTAAGATAAAAGTTTCAAGTAACAAGATAATATCTGATGTTTACAAGTGATGTGCGCATAAACAGACAGACAAAATCTCTTAAAATTGTTTATTGCCTTCTACTCCTTGCTAACATCTCACAAACAAATTCTTTTTTTATTTAATTTTTATTTATTTATTTTTTCTTTTAAAAACGTTACCCCCACACTAGGATTTTCTCCTGTATCGTGGAGGCAGTTTACAAACACAAATTGCACAAGGACAAACATCCAGACCCGGAACAATTATTTGTAGGCCATACAAATACTTGTTCCGTGCGGGATTCGAACCCGCGCCCCACAGCGCAGCAACTCATTGCTAAGCCACTGCGCCACGGAGCCGTCTAAATTGTTTTACAACAACTACAGAAGCAGCATAATCA